GGGCCCAGGACTGCTGTGATTTCTGCTATCTCAGTGCTGTCAGTGCATGTCAGATGTCTAAGAGGTCAGGCATGAGTTCTGGGAATCCATCTCTTAGATGCCTGTGTCTGTTTGTGAATCTGGGCCTTAAATGTTTTAAATAACTGTCTTGTGTAAGTAATTGGCAACTCATGCTCATGGCACTCAGACTAATGATAAATAATGCTGTCAGCCATGCTGACATTGGCTTAGTTGATTAGGTTAAGGTGACAAAACACTGCATAAATGTAATTGAATAAACACTGCAAGGAAATGACGGCAGTGAAATATTTATGCATGGCCCTTTGGAAGTTTCTTTACAGGCTTTTGTCTTTTCCACATCTCAACACTGAAAGAGATGGGTTGGAATCACTGTTTGGTTTAAACACTAATTATGAATAAATTAACAAAACCAGAAAGTCCTCCTAACTTCCATCTGAAAGTTTCTTCCTCCCCAGCACATCTTTAGTCAAGACTAGTCTAAAAATAAGTGCAGTACTTCTAGAAATATTTCTAACCATTTAAAAATCTTTTTTTTGTGTCTTTAATGTCAAAGAAGGCTTTTTAAAACTCAATTAAATAGCCAGCAAAGAACAATGTACAACACTTAAAGGGAAGCATACTAGTATCTGCAGAAATATAAATATAAATAATATTTTAACTATGAAAAAGTGCAAATAGTATTATCCTGATCTCATGGGGCAAGGTAAAAGCTATCACACAACTTTTCAAATGAGTAAAGGTGGATGAAAATATGATTAGGCTTCATATTCAGAAGTATTTCTTGAATTCCCAAGTAGTTATACCCAATAGAGAGCAGTTTAAGTGGCTCTGTGTTTTTTCATTAACCCAGGCCATTTTTAGACTGTAATCCTGAACTAGGTACAAAACAAGGGAAGTATGCTATTGATTTCAGTGGAACCAGGATTTCAGCTTTAATTTAAATCAAGGGATATATAAGTTTAAAATAAAAATATTGCCACTATTACTATTAATATCACACTACTCTGAGTATTGTTTTATTGTGCTTTATGCTATATCACTGTCTCTCTTCTCATATTTCTATTTCAGGTACCCCAATTATATCTTTAAATGACCTACTTATGGGACAGATCCTTATTTTCATAGAATAGTACTTTACTGCACAACCAGTCTGATTTTTAGTAGTTCTAGGCATAAGGTAGCATTCATAATGAGCAAAGACAGCAGAGTGTGGACCTGTGATACTATAAATACTTGGACCCTAAGGAGAGAATATGGTTTTGAAGATGGATGCATTAATTTAAGTTTGATGCATATAAAAAGATCAATAATTTCCAATAGAAGCAAATTCTTTTATGCAGAAGATGTTGTGATTCAATTGCTGAATGACTCATGCAGGACTCATCAGGGATGTATGAGCTGCCAGCAAAATACATACCTACCACCAACACTCCTGGCTGCTTCTGAAATACCTGTGCCAATGCTAGAATGGTAGAAAGCCACGCTCTCTTATGCATGACCTCCAGGCAGGTGGAGCTTAGGAGAATAACATCAGTGAACGAGTACTTCCAGATCCATGAGCATATTTCCCTGAGCTATCGTTATCAAACGATAATTAACACACTGTTAATAATTTCTTTTTGGAGCTGATCTTGCCCTTTTTGGTTTGATATCATCTTGTTTGCAATCTGGAGGGTGCTCAGCCTTTCATAAATTTAAGTAATTTTCCTTTATAGTAATCAAGTGGAAGAAAGTTGTGAGCATCTATATATCACCCTGATAACACAGTGCTGTTCCCTACAGTACATTTCCTCACATCTTTTCAAATGTCATTTGAAAAGTTCTCAACTTTGGGCATCTACTGCATCATTTCTCTTAGAACAGTGGTTTTCAAACGGTGTTTTGCAGAACCAGGTGGTTCTATGATGAGTCATCTGGGGGTCTGCAGAGATTGGGAGCAATGGCAGAGCAGGCCAGGAGGCAGTGTACTACCATTGCTGGGCTGGGTTGCATAGCTCCGTGTCGGTCTAGGGGCTAGGGTCCCATAGCAGAACATGAGATATGAAAGGGTTCTGTGACTTTAAAGAACCACTGCCTTAGAATTCAATTCCATAATTTATCACATCTCTGCATTATTCTGGTATTGCCTTTACCTGTTATCTCATTACGCCTTTTGGTAACTCATGTAACACCCAGATCCTCACCCTGAGTAAACTGTCAGAATTCTACTGAGGTTTTCAATTACAATGACACACAGGAGTTGGAAAACTGCTTACTATTTAGTTTTCATCATATTTTAGTTCCATCAGTCCTGATCACATTTTTTTTGTTTGCTGTTCTGCCAACTCCCTCTAGTTTGTTAGTTATATGGTGTCTAAAACTGAATGCAAGATTCTAGATGAAATGCCCTAGAGTCAGAGAGAAAAGGATAGTTCTCTGCTGAGTTGTAGGACCTATCTGAATCTCTTACATAAAACTGCTTTAGGATTTTTTGTTCCCATATCTCCTTGCAAACTCATGTCTAATTTGCTATGCGTGATATCCACTAGGTATCAACATTCATGCCCTGATGGTAGCTTTCTCTGGGTTTCAGATTAATCACATATGCACATGGAAAAAAATATAGATATATAAATAACATATGAAACAAATAGTTTTTATTTTTCCCCAGAGAAATCTTTTGTTAATTCCTGCTCAAATTTTGAACCACTGTGGGACTGTCTACACAAGACACTACTGTGCAGTAGCTACTCACTATAAACATCTCATGTAGACACTGGTAGCCAAAGTAGTGAGTTTAAAGGTATCTGGGGTATGTCTATAACACGCTGAAGTCACTTCTGCGCTGCTAATAAACTCTTTGTGCTGCAACGTAGATATAGGTCAGAGCTGTTTGCTTTCATGAGAGTGGTTCCAGCCTGTATATCCCTAGTGCACTGATCCTCCACCAAGGTGTTACAGCACCCTGGGGTGCCTTAAGATCCTTTCAAGGGTGCCATGCAATGTTAGCATGGTTAGGTGTCCAAACATGATTCATAAGATAAACCAAGACATTTCAAACAGAAATCCATACTTTGTTCTGAGTTCTTTGCAACAGCAAAACTACTCTATTATTTTTCTGTGGGCCAAAAAAGAGTGAAAACTTAGAGCCGGCATTTTCTAAGGGGTGCCTTGAGTCTGTCCAAGATGCCTTGAATCTAAAAATGTTGATAACCAGTGCTGTAGTGGATAGAGGTCATGAGACAAGGGGCCAATTTAAGACACGCTGCTGTCTTCAGAGCTTCTGACTAGTTTGCTTTTCTGCGGAGAATTTGGAACCCAGTCATCTGCCGTTTCTGGAGTGAGCCCACTAGCCATTGAGACACTGGATAAGAGAGAGGCAGCACACCCACTGCAATCTCTTTCTGTCTTTAAAAAGAGAATAGCAGCTGTAACTGCATGTTGCCAATTTGTGTGAGGCATTCTCTGAGCACACCTTCTGGACTGAGCCTTCAAGGGAGTTAGGCAGATCTAAGGTTGGGAAGTTGATCAGTCTAATAAAGTTCAGTAAACTGACTGGTCAAATATTGGGTATCTTCATGTGAAGATGGCAATACAGTCAAATAATACACAGAAAAAACACTAATTTTCTATTAAGAAGTTTGTCAAAAGCAATTAAAAATTATACTTATGTCAAGCAAATTGCCAAAAAAAAAATCAACTCCCCATTTGACAGTCAAAGAATATGCAGTCAATTGGCTGGTTAATTGACAATATTTGACCAATTGACCATCTTACCAACCTTAGGTAGATCCCTTCCTTTGAATCCCAATAGTTATGGGACCCTGGCTGACTTTAGGTATGCTCAGCCCTATACAACTAGAGGCAAAGCATGAAGACAAAATTAATATCTGGAGAAATTTATCATTAAAAAGGGTATGCTCATTGGGTTTAAATGCCTCCAGAATTGGGTATGGGTGAAATGAGGGCTTTCAGGACAGAATTTTTTGCTTTATGTCTTACTTTAGGTATCTAAATCTTTCATTAGATTTAGCCCTAAATTCCTTTGCATTTAATGTAATACAGCTATTTTGATGTCCCAATGTAAATAAGGATTTTGGCACTGATCTTGGAAGTACTTATACACATAATTTCCTGTACACATGAATATCTCTATTAACTTCAGTGAGACGACTTGTGCAAAGAAGTATTCGGGTTTTTATTATTAACATTGCCATGATTAAAAGAATCATTTATGCCCAAGCTGAATAGGGATAGCGGAGAGGTCTTTGCTTACTTTATGTATGGGAAACTAACTTATACAGCCATTAAATTTTTCTTAGATGTTTTAACTTGGAAAATAATTTAATGTTAGAGAATGAAATGAAAGGAAGAAAGCAAGCTAGCTTGTATAATAGGACTTATATAGAAATGTGTTTCACATAAAGCAGTATTAGTATTAAATATTACATCAAATTAGATTACATTAGCAAAAGGCACATAACATTGGCGGCACATGAAAAAGGCAAAATGCATGCATGATGTGAAGATGAACTTTAATAAGCGGCAGTTGAAAGAAATTTCTGCATAGAAAAATGATACCTTTGTTGTGTTACCAAAATAACACAGTACACATAACAAAAGCATGAAGGGTATTTGGCTTGGCTTCTGATTTTGGAGTTATAATTAGCCATAGTTCCTGTTTCCTACCACATGCACATATTATTTCTCTGGCAGAAAAAAATATTTTTATTTCTTGTCATTTGCTTTAAAAGAAGTGTTTGATCACATAAAACTATCCTTTAATTTCACAATGCAGTGAAAAATGAAATGTAAATCCCTCTTGTTTAACAGGCTATTAACGTGACTGTGAGAGGATAAAATTACTTCAATTAATTCAAGTTTAGAAAGTAATTAAAAAAAGTATAAGCATACTTCTAAGAGCTTCAGTGGAGTGAGGTGTTTAATGATGCACATAAAATTTCAGATTCACAATTAAAAAAGCACTCAGGTTTCAGTACCTCCCCATAACTATGCCTGTCATCTGCAGAGTAACTGATATATGGAGAATAGGAGATCATATCTGGGCGGTCAATATTATAGATGGCTTTATTTTTAGGAAGAGCAGCCAAATCCCTGTAGTCAAGAATTTCATCGCCAAGCTTTGCCTAAGAAAGGAGGAAAGAAAGCAGTGAGGACAAGAAGGAATATAACCAGGATACAATCAGGAGAGGACAGATATATATATATATATATATATATATATATACACATTGATAGAAAAGCCAATAATCATACATTTTTTTCTTTGATGACTGAGAATTTAAATATAATGCAAAACTTTAAAGGTATACAATTGCTTTCCTTGCACACAGTCACACTTTCTATTCCCCCCGTCATGCACATTATATAACAAAGGCAGTATGGCACAATCCACATTTTCTTCAGTCATCTCCTGCTGACTATTAGGGATGTAAAGAAGGACTAATTCTGCAATCCTTACTCAGCAAAAAAAAATCCTTTATCCAAGGTGATTTTGGCTGAATATTGCTCACCCCCACCACTGTACATGATAATAAGTAATTATATATTTATTTCCAACATTGTCTATCCAGATGGTAAATCTCATCCATTTTCCTAGCCTGTAACTTCTCGCATTAAAAGAGCTCACACCACCTCAGCCTTTGTTGACTATGTCTAACCTGTTCCTTATTCCTGAATGTCACAGGGCACTAAGGTGCCTGCTCCTTTAAGAACAGAAACTACCTAGGGAGAGGACCCTAACAGCCAGATAGAAGCCCACAGGTGCAGGTTACTATGGCAACAGCCTAATGAGTAAAGTAGCCTGCACCTGCACCCGGTCAGCTGACTGGAAGAGGCAGGGCCCTGGGCATATATAAACCCCAGGGCTGGGACGAGAGCGTGAGTTCTCTGTCAGTAGCCAAGGGGGGAGGAGCGCCCAGAGAAGAAGCTCACCAGAGAGGCTTGGCTGCCTGTTCTACTCTGGGTAGGATTAAGGGGCTCCAGGAGCTCACCAGAGACTACAAAGCACTTAGTAATGGGAGAAGTTTGATTTTTGTTAAAGGGACAGAGCACCCCTGAACTCCTTGTAACATGATACAGCCCAGGGGCTCATATTTTATTTGCTGTTTATACACCGGTGGATCGGGCTGAGGCTATTGGAGAAGGAGGAGGCCTCACTGGGGGCCCACTACGGTGTGGAGACCCCAGCACCAGAGAAGGGCGCAGCAACAAGTGGGTGAACAGACCCCAGCGCCAGTGTGGGGAGCAGAGGCAGGGCTGCAGGGAGCCCAGTGCCAATGTGGGGCGCAGAGACAGGGCTGTGGAGAGCCCAGTGAGGACAAGAGGCCGAGCTGTAGCAAGGCCCCAGAAGAGACAACATTTAAATACCATCTGTGAGGCTTGGGGCATGGTGAAGGGATGGTTTTGGAGCCACGCATCGAGCCCATAAGGCTCCAGGTGTCTTGTGAGGTATCCAGTTTGAAGTGGGACCCAAAGGTGGTCTAAGAACCTACAGGGTTCAGTGGGGTCCATCAAGACCATGTTCAGAGTAGAAGCTCGAGGGCAGCGTCCCGATTTATTAGAATTACCAGTAAGACGTGGCAGATGAGAGAGGGTGCCCGTGGGGCAGGATTGGCATGGTCAAGGAACCCTAGGGGTATCACAGCCATCCCTGGGGACCCCACGCCATGACAAAGTGGTGCACTGGCTGGGAACTCGGCCATGCGCGGGGAACGAACCTGTGTCTCTTAGAAGGGAAATGAACCTTTGGGCTAGAAGATAGATTGAGAGAAATTTATAGTAAGGCCAGGCGTTAGTTATGGCTGAGGAAGAGACCATGGAAGGTCTGAGACAAGAGAACTTCACCTGGCTATTGCAGGTGGATACGTTGGAGGAAAAAAACAGCCCAGTTAGAGTGGGAGTTAGGAGTGGTGAAATCCCAGAAAGAGCAAATTGAGGTGAAGATTGCTGCTTTAGAGCTGCGGGTACAATCAGGCAAGAAAGAAGGAGGGTCCAAAGAAATCAGGTGCTTGATAGCTGTGGAGGCTGAGAGGGCTCGAGCACTTGAGCAGCTTATCATGACTCAGACTCAGAAGAGCTGGGAGCAGGAAGAGAAGCTGCAGAAGATGCAGAAGGAGATGACAGCATGGGTGTCAAGATCTCCTGAAGCCTGCACAACCCAGCCAGAGGAACAGAAGCATGTGCTACAGAAGCTGGAAGGGTCAAGAAGCCTTATAGGTGCCCTCCAGAAAGAACTCCATAGCCAGGAAGACCAGATAGAGGGGTTGCATGAGGAGCTGGAGAGCTGGCAACAGAGGTGCATGGATGCAGAATACCTTGCACAAGAGCTGTGAGACAAGCTGGTAAAAAGCCATACCAAGACAGAAGAAATAGGAAAGATGATCTCAAAAGAGATGGAGAAAGTGAAAGAATATATGGCAAATTATGAGGCACTGCAGGATCAGAAGCAGTCCCTTGAAAATGAGGCAAAGGCCATGAAGGAGGACCGTGACGGGTGGCAGACTCAGTTGCAGGGAGTGGAGGCAGAAAAGGAACAACTTGGGGAACAGGTACAGTCCCTGAAAGCCCTTGTAGAAGACAACGCAGCTGGAGAGGCAGTAATGAGTGCAGAAAGAAAGCAGTTACAGCTTCAGGTGCAAGCTGCAAGAAAACAAGTTCAGGCACTGGAGCAAGAAAACCAACCACTACAAGAGGCAGGGGAGCAGGCTGTTATAAGAGTCCAGGATCCCTGTGAAATCAAGGTGTCAGGCACAGCAAGTAGTGCAATACTTGCTGAAAGCAAGGCAGAAGCCTCAAATGCTAAAGGATATGGACACAATAGGAAGGAGCACGTTTGCGCTGGGAGCACAGCTGGTGGAACACGCAGCTGCAGCCAAAGCCGAATGGCAAGAGCAATTCTATGAGCTGGAGGCATTGAAAGAGTCTTTAAGGGAGATGGAGAAACAGCTAGAAGCCATGTGGCTAGGGGTCTGGAGGCCCCAAGAATATGTGGGGCTACCTAGATACTCAAACCCGGAGAATTCCAGAGACAAGGCAGGCCCAGTGCAGCTAGAGAAGCGCACTATGACAGAGGGATGCTTAGAGGTAGATCCTACAACCACACAGAAAGAGGCCCTACCTGCATTAATAGGATGCCTGAATCGGAGATGATAAGTTGATAAGTCCCCACACAGATAAGATGGACTGGATAAGACAGAAAGTGGAGGAACTCATTAGCAGACACTACAAGGGAGTGTTCACGGTGCCAGATTGAGTCCAGTCAACTGAAGCAGATACGGCAGACCTAGCGACTGCGTGGAAGAGGGAGCAGTCCAGCACAAGAAGCGAGACCAGGGGCCTGAGTTATCAAGGCAGCCCACAGAGGGTGCAACATCCAAAACCTAGGGGACAGAGACCACAGGCGGCTCAAAGCCTAGTGCAATGTGAGTCAGAGACAGACTCCAGAAAAGGGAGATTAGTTGAACCCAAAAAGGGAAAGCAGGATGAAGGGCCAGAGATGAGAAGGAAGGGACAACCACCCAAGGAGACCTTAGAGAAAGGCACTTAGTGCTGGGAGAAGTTTGATTTTTGTTAAAGGGACAGAGCACCCCTGAACTCTTTGTATTATGATATATTCACTGATCATGAATCTAAAGATGCCACAGCTCCACAACTCAGGGCTGTCTAACTTTTGGGTGGCTAGGGGCCACATACCCTCTGGCCACATGCGACACAGGCTGTGCGCCATCTGCATTGGCCCTCCTCATAGTACCATGCAGAGTGTGCACCGGTGCTATACCACACCAGTGCCCCAGGTGCCAGCAACACCACTACTCATGGGATCCCTCAGTCCTGCGAGCTGTGTTGTCTCATCCCACCCCCAGCGGTGTGGGGACACAGAAGGAGCTGGAGAAGGGAGGTGGAGACCAGAGACTCCAGAAGCAGTAGCAGAAGAGTGATATGGGGAGCAGCACCTGAAGTGGGAGTCTAGGAGCTGCAGTTTAATCCCTTGAGGGTTTAACGGCCAGTTGGAGAGTCCTGTTTTAGCTGATCACGGATGTCCCCATCTCTTATGACCTCCCTCACCTGAAGTTCTAATCTTTTTCCAGCTGGTCACACAAGTCTCTCTCCAGAAAGTGAGGCACTCAGAAATCACATTTTCATAACTCCCCTTCCTCATTTATTTCTAGTATTCACCACTACTAATCCAGCATTTCCTAAACTTGTTGATGAGACACCAAACCAGGCGATACTGACAGAGAAGAGAGGGGCAGTATCTTTTTTCTAATTAGCAGTTCAGTCTTCCAGATTGCTGCCAAAAAGGGACTTTGGAATCAAAATAAAGAGTGAACCTGCGTTTGATGCACGTTGCCTGCTTTCAAAGCATAGCTCAGCAATCCCAGAAACAGGCTGTGTTAGTCATTACACCTCTGAGATTCCCACTTCTACATTGCCCATGCACATTCAATCTAACATGTTCTGTAGCTCAAAAGCCACACTAGATCCCCAAACCTAGACTGATTGTTCTATTTCAATTTGACACATTCAGAGGTATGAGACCTATAGGGTCACCAGCTCCTACATTCTCAAGCTGTTCTGTAATTGCTTTTTGCTTGATCCTTCTGCTCTGATACATTATAGCTGTGCTAGTTGGAGATCCATAATGAGGACTGAGCTTTATGTACAAATGCTATTCCACTCCTCCGCTGGAGGGGAGTAGGCGAGTGGTAACTGAAGAATCATTTTAAAAACATATGAGTTCAATGACAATATACTTTTAATTTTATCCTTTTTCTCTTCCTAGGTATCTAAGTAGGAGTTAATCTCAAAAAACCTGCTGACATATCAGGCAATTATGATACAGACAGGCAAGAACTGGGATTTAAAAAAATCTTATATCTGCTAGAAAACTTTTTTGTTTTGCAGTCCCATGTGCCCCTGAATAGGTATGTCACAGAAACAAACACTAGTGTTGTATGCTGACTGATTCCCTTTGAAAAAATAAGAAAAGAAAATGCTGTTTTGTCTTTGGTTATAAGCTGCTTATGAAGTATACTTAAATAATGATACACATTAAGAAAACTGTTTGAAAGAAGCAAGTATTGTACAGCAGCCATAAAATTGCCACTACATAAATAAATAAAATAAGAATGTGCATACTTATAAAAGCAGAAGAATGGAATAAGGTTGGAAAAATAGAGACCATATGACATGCTTACGTGATACTAGTCCCAATCCACAGCACATATGCATCAGTGGCAGTTGTGGACACAGTGTTACCTGTGTACCTGACTACATGTCAGCCTCTACTGATAAGTGTTTTTACGAGAAGGGGGGCATATTTTATATGTGCAATTAATGCACTTCAGTTCAGGTCTGCTCCTGCTCTGCCCCCCCTGCAGCAGCCAAAGGGAGCTCCAGGCTCCACTGGGGGCCAGCCCTGGGCTGGCAGGGGGCACAGGGTCTGGTCTCAATCTCGGGGCAGGAGAGAGCTGTCTGCTAGCCATGTGGAGATCAGGACCCATCCAGATCTCCTCAGCAGGGCTGGATTAATGGATAGGCAAACTAGGCACATGCCTAGGGCCTTAAGTGAATCATAGAATCATAGAAGTAGGGTCGGAAGGGACCTTGTAGATCTTCAAGTCTGACCCCCTGCCTGAGCAGGAGAAAAAAACTGGGCTCAAATGAGTCCAGCCAGGTAGGCATCAAGCCTCCTCTTAAAGACCCCCACGGTAGGAGCCAGCACCACTTCCCTTGGAAGTTGGTTCCAGATCCTAGCCGCCCTGGCTGTGAAGAAGGGGCTCAGTTGTGCTTATTTTACATATTATAATTGAGTGAAAAAAAGTAATATAAATATACAGTACGGAGCCCATGAGTTTGTTTGTCTATAGTCTGTGCTGTGGCAGATGGGACAGATGTTTCTCAAGCAAATCACAGCAAGTCATCCTTCCACTGTACTCAGCTTTGGTAAGGCCACAGCTGGAGTACTGCAACCAATTCTGGGCTCCCCAACTTAAAAAGGATGTGGAAAAACTTGAGAGTCCAGAGGAGAGCCACATGCATGATCAGAGGGCAGGAGAATAGGCCCCATGATGAAAGGCTGAGAGCCATGGGACTCTTCAGCCTGAAAAAATGAAGGCTCAGGGGAGACCTGGTGGCTGCCTGTAAGTATATATTGAATGCCTATTCACCAGAGTGCACCAAGAGATGACAAGGTCAAATGGTCACAAACCCCTCCAAGACCATTTCAGGCTGGACATAAGGAAACCTTCTTTACCATCCGAGCCCCCAAGGCCTGGAATAGACTCCCCACAGAGATGGTACAAGCACCTACTCTAGATTCTTTTAAGAAATATTTGAACATCTAACTTGCTGGGATCCTTTGACTCTAGCTGACTTCCTGGCCCTGGGGCAGGGGGATGGACTCGATGATCCTCCAAGGTCCCTTCCAGCCCTAATGTCTATGAAATCTATGACAGAAACTGCCAATATCCTGTTATTTTAAGTATGGTATTTAAACACTTTACTGTGAGAATACCAGTTTGCAAGAAGCAAGAACTAAAGTGGTTTGGAGATATTACATTTCTCTGTAGTGCATTAAACAGTTCATCTAGTATACATTTCTTTGCATCTCACAGCAGGAAAGAATGCTTACATAGATCACACGGCTCGGGGAACCTGACGTACTTGAAGCAGGTACAGAAATAATGCTCTCAGAAGAAGTTCTAGTTTCCTAGGGCAGAAGACAAAAATAATAAGAAAATTTATCTATGACTTAAGAAAGATAAGGTGTAAAAAGTCTTCCACTAAATTGAACTCTTGCCATTCAAAAGTGGAACACTATGGTCAACTCAAATGAATACAGGCAGACATGCCTGAGAACTTGAAGTAATAGTATTCTGTTATCCAAATAATGAACTTATTGAAAATAGCAACAATTATCTCATATACTATTTACCTAGGACCCCTACTAGAACACACGGTTGCAATACAGGTTAACAGAATGATCCTAGAAGCCTGTTAATTAGGGCTGTGCAAAGCTTTGGTCACTGATTCGATTCGGCAGAGATTCAGCCTGATTCAGTGGCTAAATCCCCAAATCTGAATAGAGTCAGGAGACCCTTTAATCTCTCTGAATCGAACTGGAACCCTCTGAATCGATTCTGAGAGATTCAGAAAGATTCAATGATTCAGATATACACACAGCTTTAAATGTTTTTTCTACATACCTCAAGGTACCAGGTGGCTCATGAATGGTGTGATGGTAGGGTGGATGGGCATGCTCAGCAGCAGACCTAGAGGTGGACCAGAAGCACTTCCAGTCCACTTCCAAGTCTGCCGGGGAGCATGCTGCCCCCCCTCCCCGTGCCCTCCCAGCTCAGTGACTGGTGCCTCCTGGGTCAGGGGGGTATCTGGGGGATACCCGGGGTCCCCCCATGGCCGATTCACTTCTGGATTCACTGGTGAGCATGTGTGTGTGGGGGGCCCGGTGCTCCTGTAGGATGCTCCATCTGCCCCAGCATTGCAGTGTTCACAAGCCACGCCTGGTACCTCGAGGTATGTAGAAAAAACATATAAAGCTGTGTCTATGACCAAATCTCTCATTCTCTGAATCAGCATCGAATCTTCAGATTCAGATTCAGCCGAATTGAATCACTGTCCCTGATTTGGGCCAAATCTGAATCGAATACAGCCCATTTTGCACACCCCTAATGTTAATGTGAATTCCAGTTACAGCAGCTCTGAGGCTGGGTGTGTCACATGGACATCTGAAGGCAAAATCTGAGTCCCTATACAGGTTTCCCTTGCTTTATGTAGTTTCTGTATGTCTGAATTCAATGACCCTTTTTATACCAAACATTCGTTATATGCGAGGTAAGTTCACTCTTATGTGATCGGTGTGGTGGAAGCCTGCAGTCAGTTGCATTGTGCAGTGCACTATGGGAGTGACGCACACCAAAATATAGTCTCCTGTGTGGATTTGTGCTCCTCACTCATTGTCTGCGATTTGTGTTTCTGTAGTTACCATGCCCATCAACTAAACATTCACCAGCTCCCCATGTTTGTGTGTACTGTCTGCTGTTGGTGAGTACCAAAACTGTCTTGAAAAAGTGGTAGAAAATGGGTCTGGCGGTCAGTATAGTTGAGGTCTTGGAATGTATCCCTATTTGTTACATTGTAAAGTAGGTTTTCTTTATGCAAATTCAAGTTATGGACCGTTTTCCAGGAATGCATGTACAGCATTAAGCAAGGGAAAAAACCTATAATTAATTTGGCAAATCTACATATTTTGTTCAAAGTCTTATGGTTTGGTGAAAGTCACTAACAGCACCCAGAATACTATTTTTTTTAAAGTGGAAAGATTGCAAAAGGCTTTTTTGAGCTCCTACTATAAGAGCACATCTACACATGTGCCCGATTGCACAGCTGTTACTAAAGCAAATACTAAATTGGGCTAAAGCAAGTATTAAATGACTGTGCATTAACTGCTGGTACGTCACAGTCCCAGCACTGCATGGGTCATTTCCAGCCCTACTGTGCAGTCGCAATGAGGTAGCTCATTGCGACTGCACAGTAGTGGCGGTGTCACGGTTCATGCCTGCTGACGCTATGTGTAGACATGCCCTGACAGTATAAGAATAATATTTATCCTGGTATTAACAGAGCAAGAATTATTATAATTTTTAAAACAGTTACTGTATCTAGAATACCATCTAACAATTTTTTGGAACTTCTTGGTAGTTTCTTTTATTGTGAAAAATACCAAGCTATAAGACACATAAGCATTAATAATGAACAAACATACTTGACAGTTGTTACTCAAATCTGAAGAAGCTTGTGGGATTCATATGTTTAAAAGATAATTAGGCTAATATAACTGAAACGAGTATATTTATCTATATGATCCTTCATCTGCAGTAGCTTCTAACAGAATTTATCATGCCAGGAAAAATATTTTTTCTTAGTTTGCAAGTGGTTGCGTATTTTGCCACGAGCATAGCTATCATTGTGCAAAGTATGGTTAAAACTCAATATTTCATAGCTAGAAGTAACAATTGTTCAAATACTTAAAAGCTCATTAGCTTTTTTAAGCTGTGAGATCTAGCTATTTTTCTTCCCATTATTCTCTTCATTACTTGTAGTAGCTTCCCAGCTATTGGAAACAAACAATGGATTTATCAGTTTTCTATAAGATACCAATGAAGTCATCCTCAGATAGGCCCTGATAATCAAACACATGGGGCTTGAGAAGCCAGGTCTAGAGCAGTGGGCCTGGGCTGTGGGACCAGCCAGAGTAGAGGGGCAGAAGCTGGGAAGGCTAAAACCCCAACAAAAAGGGAAACGAAAGGCATGGAGTGGCCTGGAGACTGTGGAAACTGGAAAATTAATCCATAACTCGGGAGATGGTCTAACTGAAATTGTGGGACCAGGATGCTACTATTTGACAGTGGTGAAGTCAAGTGTGGAACTTTTATGTAAGTTTTATCTCTGATGCTTCAAGTGTGTCATTGTTTGAAAGAACTTCAGTTTGGATTGCCAAGACTGTACTCAAATCATATGAGACAAGACAGAACACAAGGCAGCAGACATAAAAAGGACAAGGGTCCTACCTGAATGGAGATTCAAATCTGCGAGGCATTGGGCATAGTTTAGGCGAGGTATGGAGCCACGCAATTAGCCCTTAAGGCAAGAGATCTACACCTCCAGGTGTTCCCTGGAGTTAGACTATACCTGGGAAGCCCTGGGGCAGCTTCCCCTTGTGAACCAGAAGGAACATCAAGATGTGGCGGGTGAGTGAAGGGGAGACTGTTCCTAGAGTGAGCAAGGAAAGGGGGAATTTTGGGGGCCTTCAGGGGCTTGCAAAAACCCTGGGGATGGTGCCCTGTTACAGTGACAATCAACATAGAAAATATGTCTTGTTAAACTACAATCTCCAGTTGCTAAAGATAACAGCATTGTTGTAATAGACTTCTATAAAATACCTGGATTTGATACCATGGGGTATTTTGGTTACAAGACAGTAGAATGATACGGATCAAACAAAACACACAAAAATGAATGAAAAATTGACAGGTTGCAAAATGTAATTGTAAGAGGGGAATCAGGATTGTACAAGGATGTTGCTACTGTAGGTACCAGTGTTTGGTCTTCTACTCTTTAGCATTTTTATTAGTGGGTGAAAAAAAATCTTCATTAATAAAGCTTCAAGATGACACACAAATTTGGGAAGGCATAAACAATGAAAAGAACACAGGTCACTGACACAGTGCAAGCCAGAGTTTTTGGTGAAGTGTGTACAATCAAATGCTGTTTCAATATGTCAAAATGTAAAGAAATGCTGTATAAGCCATATTTATGAATTGAGTGATTCTACCAATGGAAGCTGTGGCTGTGAAAAGGACCTGGGGGCTATGGTGAATAATCAGCTGAACTTGTCTATAGCACAATGCTGGGGCTAAAAGTATAAGCAAGGCAATCTTAAATAAGAGGGGAGAAATTATATCTATATTGGGCACCAATGCAATCCCAGCCAAACTGTAATAATGTCTCATTTTGTTGTCCACAACTCAAGTAGAATGTTGAAAAACTGGAGAAGCTCCAGAGAAGAGCCACAAAAATGATCAAAGGACTGAAAAATATCCTTTATACTGAAGGACTTGAGCATCTTTGAGCATATTTGTCACATCTTTTCAGGGTGATGTGACAAATATCAGACAAAACTAGAGGACTCTTCAATCTAGCAGGCAACGGGCACATCTACGTATGCAACTCAAGCAAATGAATATACTCCAGCTCAATTTGAGCCAGAGCAAACTAGTTCTGATGTCACTGTCTACCAGTGCTTTTAAGTGCAGTAATTTATGGCGCTGCTGGATACCATTTATATCTGTTGGGACTATCAGCCAGCACAGTAAATTAATCTACTGTGCCCTAATTGCCGTGCATGTGTAGACGGTGATTTTTGACTGAGCAGCACATTAGTCTGGTGTACAGTCAAGAGTCTCATTTAGATGTGCCCAATGTGTCCTGGATCAGGCAAGGTATAACTAGACAAAAGCAAATTGCTATATGGGTGCAAATTGAAATGGTACAAATTCAGACCAGAAATAAGGCATTTTTAAAGCTGTTACGTTAATCAACCATAAGTGGATTCTTTTCCAAGAAAAATATTAAAATCAAGATTGGATATTTTTATGAAAGGTGCTTTTGTTCAAACAAATTATTTCAAGGACATCCCATGATCTGTGTCATACGAGAAGTCAGATCAGATCATTAGAAAGGTCCTTGCTGGCCTTAAAATCTAGGAATCTAAAAATAAGAGTTAAAGATTTTTACTCATTTTGAGTAGTATTTTAGCCCAGAAGTAAATTCTAACAATTTCAGTGATATTATTTGTGAAGTAAGCCAATATTCAATGAGTAATATGGCACTAAATAGTGTTGTTGTTTTTTTATGTAGAGCTATAATTCAGTCCAAGATGTATTTGATAACACAACAGATACATAAACATTCTTTTATATCTGCTGCTTCGTGTTCTGTCTTGTCTCATATGATTTGAATACAATTCTGGCAAGCAAAACCAAAGATCTTTTGAATAATGACACACTTAAAGCATCAGAGATAAAACTTGCATAAAAAGTCCCACATTTGACTTCACCACTATCAGATAGATAGTAGCATCCTAGTCCCACGATTTCAGTTAGAGCACCTCCTCAGTTACGGATCAATTTTCCAGTTTCTACAGTCAACTTGAATACAACCATCCTTGTAATTGTTAAAGTTGCCCAAACTCTATCTCTTTCCTTCTTCACACAGACAGACACACAAATCATCCTCTTCAGTATGTATTTAATATCAGACATTAAGTTGGAGGTGATATGGCAATTCAAACAAAGCAAGTCTTAGAAAGAGGTTTTTATGCAATGGAAAATACACCTATCTAAAAAGGGGAGGAGCAGTGTGTCAATCTGTCACCACATCCTAATCAACAAGAAGTTTATAAGGATTCCAGTAGGATCACATGATGCATTCCTTCTCTCTGACAGTATATTCACACAACCTCAAGCCAAAGATTCCTTAAGAGATAAGTTTAATCACCAACCACAACAAAGAATATAAATCACTATTTTATCTACTGTGTTATGTCACTTATAATTACAGTGGGAAAACAGTCTCAGGGCCTAGATGGCCTGCAGAAGAGTAAAACAATGGAATAAATTAAATCTGGATTAAGAGAGAATTGTTTACCTTGTTTTTTTCTTCAGCCTTGGCTGCCTGTCTACAGGCTGGATGCCAGATAGAAGTACCTGTAAATTAAAACCAGCACTCTGGTTAATTATTTCCCCCAAACAGCAGCTTTACTAAAGCATGGCACACCAATGTACAGTAGTCTGAGAAAACCTGAGTGAAATCCTGGTAAGTCAATAGAAGTTTTACCACTGACTTCAACAGGATTTAATGTCTGACTGCTAAAAAAAGAGACAATCCTGTAATGTTAAGAATTAATTTAAAACTTCTTATTTTTTAAAAAAATCTTTAGACCAGATGCCCACCAAAAAGCAAAATAAACAAAAAATCCCCTTTGTGTCCTAACTACCATGTAATACCTTGGTCCTGATACTCAGCTGGTATTTCCTGGTAAAATGTTACTGACTTCAGCAGAGATATGTCTTTTTATACTGGTTGAAAGTCTGTGCCTTTATTTGAACTGATCATGAAATTAACTTCATCTTGCATTTCCTACCCATATGTCCTACATAAATTAAGTACCATTGTTTTAGGTCACTTATTAAAGAGAACAGGAAATCAGAAACAAAAGTAAATCAACCCTTGTAATACAATAGAAGTATATATTTTAAGGCACAGAAGGAGGCATAAAAACAAAACAGTAATCTTTTATTTGAACACATTAGCAAACCAACTTCAAGGGGGAGCACAGATCCATCCAGGATTCAAAGTTTAAAAAGAGCAACTTTCACAAAGTTAATAAAAGATGCTGGAGTAATATGCAAATCTTTTAGGCAAAGAAGTGTAGGTGCTTTTCCCTGAACAATAACTGAGCATTATAACTACAATAGCAAGCCCATTCTCAAACAGAAAGCTGGAAATTAGGAAATATGTCCTGATAAGTCAGTATGAGTCTGTAACCATAGAGGAACAGGCAATTTCCCACATTTGTATATGAAAAGATCTCAAGCAACCCCATTAATTCTGTACTGATTTTAATCTTCCAGGTAGCCAGATCCTTAGGGCATAGGCAGAAGAGGCAATTTCCCCCCTATCTGGCCACATAAACCAGTCTACAGTTGTGACCAAACACAAGTGCATTGTATGAGTGTTCAGATGAAGAAACTTCAAAACATAGCACCTTCTGTAACTTGTATCTGCGCTGCCTCCCAACCTGTTGCTGTTTTTAGAATGGGAGGGGGGAAGGCACCTGTGGTAAAAAAAAAAAAAAAAAAGTACTAAAAATAGCAGTGCAGCATACGTGGCAGCAGCACGTGCCACCAGAAACTGGAGCCTGGCCAGCCAGAGCAATGCTTTCACTGCTGGCCAGGCTCTGAGCGGCCAGCTTGGCACTGCTGCTGCCCCAGAAGGTACCTAGGACCCCAAGTAAGAATGCTAGGTCCAGCACAGGTGCTGGCCTCAGCTTTACCTCTCACCTAGGCTCTTTTGCTGTGTGCCAGAGCACATGTGCAGGGGTATGCCTGGGGACAAATAGCAGTGGTACATATTTGCGCTGCTATTTGTCCCACAGAAAAAAGTGCTCCTGCATGTGCACATTCATGGAAATGAGCCCTGTGAGTGAAATTTGGCCCAGAATCTTCTCTAAGCACAATACCATGACTTAGCATTGTCACTTATGAAGAAGCCTCTTTTTATACACAGTAACAAACATATGTTTCATCCAAGTCAATGATAGATTCAAGACTGGACACTTGTGTTGCCATGCCTCACACTTTGGCTTGAGTGCCCTGTCTGTATATGCCCTTTGATGATATTTAGTTAATATTTATTATTCAGTTAATATTTATTATTATTTTTATTATAAAATTATATTCATCTAAATGGTCCCATCCAAGGTCAATGATGAAGAATTACAGGGGTATGGGAACTACTTGCATACTCAGAGAGTGTATCTACATGTGCAATTACCCCTTTGTAATAAACTCTCATGTAATTCATGCTGGAGTCAGCTGCTCCTGGACACATCTACACATGTGCCTGGGATTTCAGCAATTTTAGCTCAGGCAGAGCAGCCCTGGGCTGGTAGAGGGCTTGGGGGTCAGCCCTAGGCTCTGGGTGGCAGTGTCAGGTGACAGGGGAGCTGGATGGGGCATAAGAGGGCTGGCAGACAACCCCTGCACTGTAGCACCCTCATGCCTCAGTCATCCCTGGTCACCATATACAGGTGTCCTGGACAGTACTATTCTACAGTGGAGTTTATTCATTTACTGTGCCCTAATATGGATACATGGGTAGAAGGTGATACATATGTAGAAGGTGATGCTTTACTGTGGAGCAGATTAGTCAACTAATGCGTGTGTAGATGTACTCAGAAAGGCTTAAAATACAAAAATTCTTCTGTTAAAAAATAAGATGACTGAGGAGGGATATGATTTAGATCAGGGGTGTCCAACCTTTTTGAATGTGGGGCTGGATCATGAAAATTTATCCCCCAGTGGGACAGCGAGCCATATTCAAACACCCTCTGTCCTGGACCCTGCCTGTGTAGCCCTACTGCACCTGCCTGTTACTGCAAGGTTCATGGTAGCTGCTGGTGGGCAGGGGCAGGAGGGACACATTCTGCATCCAGCCAGCTACTGCCTCAGAGACTGAAGGGGAGAAATAAATAGCTCCACGTCTCCAGTCCCTTGAGCAGCGCAGCCCCATGAGCTGGCGCTGCCTGAGGGAGGCTGGAGCGAGGCAGCCTCTGCACCGCAGCCTTTCACCTGCCTGCCTGCACGGCCCCACTCACAGTGGTACCTGGCTGCCTGCGCATGCACCCCTGGTGGCCTCAGTTCTGCCTGCCCGGGGTCTGGCAGACACTGGCTCCTACCGCCTTGCCCCACAGAGGTCACACCAGGACCCCGCCTGCAGAGGTCCCCTCGTCCTGGCTTCCCACATGCTGCTGGAGATGGGAGGAGGCTGGCCAGTTCGGCACCAGCCAGCAGAAGCGGTGGTAGAGCCATATGCCGCTTGGGACTGACTGGTGCAGGCAGGGGGAAAATGCAGCTGAGCCCCTGTTACTCTGGCTGGGCTCGTCCCGTCCCGAGTGGCACATGGCTCTGCCGCCACTTCTGCTAGCCAGTGCAGACATGGCCAGGCTCTTACTGTCCCCAGCAGCTTGTGGGAAGCTGGCTTCAACTGCATGCTGCTCCGGATGGGATGGACCCAGCCAGGTCAGCACTGGCCACGAAAAGTGTCATGCAGCTGAAGTTGGCTTCCCACGTGCTGCTGGGGATGGGAGGAGCCCAGCCGGAGTGGCAGGGGCTCAGCTGCATTTTCCCCCTGCCTGCACTGGTCAGTCCCGAATGGCACATGGCTATGTTGCCACTTCTGCTGGCTGGTGCAGACCTGGCCGGCCTCCTCACATCCCCAGCAACATGTGGGAAGCCAGCTT